GCCAGGGTATGCAAACTTTTGAGCACAACTGTAGGTAGCTTTAATGCAGAAGAGACAAAGCATGTCTCTTCTGTATTAAAAATCTTGCCTGTCCACCAATTTTTAATTTTTACTTAAAGATCTACTTTGATTGAACAAGTTAGAAGCTGGTTGGCTTCCTTGCACAGCTGCACCAGATTTTCTCCAGGTTTAGTAAATCCCCCCAGTAGGTCTCTATATTAGTTGTTTTGTCATTCTCTGCACCAGGCTTTCTCAACAACAGTTCCATGATACCCAGAGGTTCCTCCAGAAGTAAGCAGTGGTGGAATACTTTTCCACCTGATGGTGTCTGTATAGTTCCAGTGCTGGTGACATGCAGCAGGAAGAACTACACTGACCACCAGTGTAACAAGCATTCTTTCCACTGACACCCAGCCTAAGGAGGCACCTCTCCTACCCACCAACTATTATAAGGGGAAACGTTTGGCCTGATTTCCAGTGCAAGGAGACATTTTTATACTAGCCATTAATCTAAAGAAGCACTTTTACACTGACCTCCAGTATAAGAGCAGCACTATTTCAGTAACAATCACCATTAAAAGAGTATTTCTCCATTGAATACTGATGTACAGAGACACCACAATTTTTACTGTATTCATTTCGGTGGACATTATCATTATTTGTGGCAGTTCGTGATTATGAATTAAAGTAATGTTGTATGGCGAAGGATGTGTCACTTCCAGACCGGACACTTTTACCCCCTTCCTGACCAGGGCGATTTTCAGCTTCAGCGCTATCACACTTTGAATGACAATTGCGCGGTCATGCAACACTGTACCCAAATTAATTTTTTACCATTTTTTTGAGACAGATAAAGCTTTATTTTGGTGGTATTTATTCACCGCTGGAATTTTTTTTTTTTTTTTTGCTATGTAAATGAAAATGTCAAAAAACTTTGAAAAAAAGTTTTTTTTTTTTTTAAATTTTGCAAATAAATAATATTTCATCATAAATCTTTGCCAAAATTTATTCCGTTATCTTTTTAGTAAAAAAAAAATCCAAATTAGTTTATAACCAAAAATTATAATTTTTGAACATTTTTTTTTACATTTTTATTTTATTTTTTTATATTTTTATTATTTTTTTTTTTACATACTGTCACCCTAGCAGTACAGTATCACCATGGTGACACTGTACTACTTGTGGGGGATGATGAAGATTTTTTTTTTTTTTACACTGATTGCTTTTACACCCATAAAGGATGTAAAAGCAATCATTTCTCTTTCTCTCTGTCTGCATTCTTGCACTCATTGAGAAGTACTGAGTGAGCTGTGATTGGTCACAGCTTGTCACATGGTACAAGGCTGTTGTGAATAGCCTTGTACCATGTGACCTCTGTGATCATTCACAGATTTCACACGTAGTAAGCAATGATGTCAGAAGTGACATCTTGCTTACTACTTTGCATGTGATCACTGATTGGCCAATCAGTGATCACATGATCGGGACCTCGTACAGAGGTCCCGTCCGACGATCGGTGTTTCACTGTGTCCGGAGGACACAGCGGGCACCGGATCGCGGTGCTGCGCGCTCCCAGGGAGCGCGCACAAGCAGGGTGCGGGGTGCCGTTTATAAACGGACACCCGACCCTGCACTGCCACCGTCCGGCCGTTTATATGCAACGGCCAGTCGGGAAGTGGTTAAAAAGAAAAAAAACTCTGGGTGTCTCCTTCCTTATTTCTTTATTATAATATGTACAACAACTTTTTGATCATGCTAATCTACCAGAAGGCATAGATATAATAACGTTTAGCAGATCCATAAATTATTTGAAGGGTTCCACCATGATAAGAAGGTTGAGAAAGGCTGCTTTACACTGTAACTGAGAAAGAGAGAGGCAGCACTCCGAGACACCAGGACCTCTGCTAGATTGTATAGATCTGGCAAACAGTGAACATGCCTCCAGGAGGGCAGAAAATGGGGATGATCTGAATTGTTCTTTTACTTTTATGCAATGTGCAAGATCAGGCAGAGGAAGCAGAACTTCAGCATCCAATATTTTGTATAGTCACCTGATCTGTGGATATGTTCCATCACCATCATTTTGGTGGAAGATGTTGAACTGTTCACATGGAGGTTGCTTGGAGCTGGCCATGCAACTGTCATTTTTATTCAATTTCAACCATTTTGATCCACTGAGAACCATATGAGATCGCAAGTAATTACCAGAAACTAAGCAATCAACCATCTATGAGTTTAATTACGGTTGACCGCAGAGGTAAAACTGGGCAATAAATTAACATCTTCAATGCAGTTTCACGTACATATAAATTCAAAACCAAAAATGTAAAATATTGCTGCTTACCAGGTCAGCATTGGTTTTATTTTTTAATTTTTTTTCTTTATTTTTACTTGATCCTGCAAATACCACACTAACCTGTCTTTGGTCAGCTACACTCACTAAATGCACAGTATGTGAGTGAGAGCCATGGTTATTACCCAGGTTGGACCTCAAACATGTCCTCCTCTCCTCTTCTGTTCTCCTTTACATGAGGATAGGGGAGATTAGTAGTTTACAGAAGGTTGATAAGTTTGTTTTATGCTTATGCAGTTCGGCTCACAGGATGTGTAAAGGCATTTCTGGTAAGATCAGCAGCTAGTTTTTGCACTTGCTAAAAATGTTCTAGTCTGAAAAATGAAAACAGGTGCAGCCACCATATCTATCTAAGGACTGGAAAGCTGCAATATATTATATTTTGTTCTTTGGTTTAACCACTTCTGCCCGGGTGGACATCATATGATGTACTGGGCTTTAAGTGGTGATACTAGAATGATGAATGATCCAGGTATCAAAATTTTCAGCTGGCGATGCTCTTTACAGTAGAAGTGGCTTGAGTGGCTATTCAGCCACTTGGTCACTTCTACAGGTGACAGAAGGGGATGCCCCCCCTTCCCGCGGCCACCTTTCCTGGGCTCTCCCTTCCCGTCGGGGAGAACAGGACCTCTCAGGCCTTCAGCATCTACTGCAGTACACAGAAAGAGGGACTAAAGTTGTTTCTCCCCATCTGTGAGATCAGAAACCGGCGATGAGGGTTTTGTCACTTCCGGTTTCAGTTCTTTGTACAAGCCATTAATTAAATTGGCCTTTCTCTGTTTGCTCAGATGCTTTGGAGGCCAGAGGAGACATCTAGGGTCTAATAGACCCCAGATATCTCCATAGAGAGGACCTGCCATGCTTATTGTTCTCAGAAGGGATGTTGTTCATCCCTTGTGAAAGCAATAAAGTTGCTAAAAAAAAATGTTTTAAATGGAATAAAAAATTAAAAAAACTTTAAAGTGCCCCGTCCCCCCATGCTCACTAGCAAATGCGAACCTATGCGAAAGTCCCGCACACATATGTAATCCGTGATCACACCACACATGTGAGTGAGATATCCTCACTAAAAAGCGAGAGCAATAATTTTAGCTCCAGACTTCCTGTGTAACTAAACTGCTAACATGTAAAGCTTTGTCTATGGAGACTTTTCGGTACCGTAGTTTGGCGCTGTTTCACAGGCGTACGCAACAGACGAGACATGTTACATATCTATTTACTCTGTGTAGCATCATCTTTTATATTTTACAAAGAAAAATGTGTATTATATTGTGTTTTTGTGCACTAAAATTAATTAAAGTGTTTTTTCCCCAAAAAAAGTTTGAAAAACTGCTGTGCAAATAACATGTGACCGAAAAAAAATTGCAACACCCACCATTTAATTTTCTAGGGTCTCTGCTTAAAAAATATATATGATGTTTTGGGGTTCTAAGTAATTTTCTAGCAAAAAAAGTAGATTTTTACATATATGTGAGAAGTGTCAGAATTGCCAAGTCAAGTGGTTAAATAATCTTTAGGAGATCGAATTGAAACAAAGGGACTGTGGCAATTTCTTTAAAAATGATTTGATTCATCTGCCATGTTCAATTGGGGCAATATTAATTCTATCTCCATGTGGTCAATCTTAAAAGAGAAGTATTAAAATAGAAAAAAAAATAATTCGTACCCACCTAGATGGCTGCAGCACTGATCCCAAATGTGTCTGTCCCCTGCTGCCTCTAGACTGAGAACTGAGCAATCAAAGACCACTGATTGTTCAGTTCTCGGTCTTCAGCCTGCAGAAAGCCATTGACTGTCAGTCTCTGGCTCTAGGCTCTGCCCCTCCAGTGCTCGGTGGAGTGCCAGACTGCGGAGGGAGCCGGAATAGCTGGCTCAGGCTCTCAGAGGATCAAGCCAGCTGCCACTCCAAGGACCTGGGTGGATCCCAACTTCAAAACATCGAGATCTTTCCTGAGCTTGGACCGGCTGAGTGCTGGATGACCTGCACTCCTGTGACCCATAGGAGACGTATAGTCAAAAAAGCTTTGACCAGACTTCTTTAAGCACTGTTCCGTGTCTTTGATTGTATTTAGTGGTGGAAACTGCAAAGCAATCGAGTGGCATGCGTGGGGTATACCATTGAGATACTGCAACTATGACCTTTTGCATGAAGTTCCGCAAAACAAAAATCACAAAAATTTTCCATAATCCTCTGTAGTAGTAGAAATTTTTACATTTGACGTTAAAGACACTCTCACTATAATGTATATCTAGAAATAAAGCTGCACTTGCAAAGAACGTAGATTAAATAAAATCATGTGGTGTGGCGCTTACAGTACTACAAGACACCTCCGCCTATACAATGATCTAAAATAAACCTAGCCCTTAACCTCCCTGGCGGTATTCCCGAGTGTAGCTCGGGGTAAAGTTTCAGCACCACAAGCGGTAACCCTGAGCTACACTCGGGCTTACCATGCGGCGCTGCTCCAGGATCCCTCCAGCACTTACCTTGTCCTGCGCTCCCGCGATGTCCGCCCTGCAGTGTCCCCTGCAATGTCCTCCAGCTGATGCCGGCATCTGTCTCCCGGGTTCTGTTCCCTGGAAGCGTCGGGACGTACGGGGGACGGAACTGGCAGGAAATTTAAAAATGTGAACAAGTGACATTCACTAAATACACTGAAATCACATAGTAAAACATTCCTGTATCAAACCATTTCACATACATTTTGTCCCGAGTGCTTTGTCCTGCGCCCTGCCTGTATTTTTATTGTTCTTTCTGCCTGGAAACTGAGAAACGTCCATGGCGTCCAAAAAGCGTCCCTTTAGGTCAAAACGGTTTTAGACCGGCTAGAGAACAGCGATAGTAAATCAGAACCACTTGCAGAATTGAGTGATAATGATTCGTGGGGGAAATTCGTCATCAGACACTGAAAATGATTCTGCGACTTTGCTCAGTGATGTGCGAACTATATTTCAAATTTCAGTGTTTTTGGTTTGATTACATTATTGTTATTAAATTTATTATTATATTATTATTTTTTATGATTATTTATTAAATTATAATTTATGATTTCATGTTTCAAATTTTAACATACCCGGGATGTTTACTAGACTCTTGTTCAGACAGATTTCAGTGAGTTATTCTTAAAAATTACAGGCTACAATAAAAAAAACAACATTTCCATGCAAAAAAATTTACCGCTTTGAGCACAGAAATATGGACATAATCAGACCGCTAGGGAGGTTACAGTACATAAATGTATACATTCACAGCCCAAAAACTCTCAACCTTTGAAATAGAACAGACTATACTACAACACACCTCCCTCAGTTATGTCCTCAACCTAGCAAAGTGCATAGATCAATAATGTGCAATAATCCAACAATAGCAATCACTGTACAAGCGCATAAATCCTCAGAACAATATAAATCACTGCAATAAAACAGTAGCAAAAAGTCTATGATAAAGTGCATATATCCAATAAACAATATTAAAGACTCTGTATTCATAAAGTGCTCTGTGAAAAGAGTCTTGTGCCAAAAAAATGTTCCAATAAAGTGCAAAGAGATCTAAAACCAAAAAAAAAATATATATATTTACATACACATTATGGCCTCATGTACAGGGGCATATGGATCTATGGAGGAGGGGGTGTTGTGTAGTCCTAAAGATTTTTTTTGCCCTAAGCTGACAGCAGTACTCTTCTATAGAAACAGTATAGTGACTGAACATCGTCACCCTTGGGCAGGAAATGTGTTACAGGCAGGATCACCTGGTGAAAATAAAGGAAAAAGCCTGAAAAGGAAACTAATGCAGCCATCACAATTAGGGACTGGTAGGCTGCGATATATTACACTTTTTTCCTTGTGGTTAGATAAGCTTTGAATGTACGTAAGAATTAAATGGTTTGTCCCAGTGACACAAATTTCAGTGCAAGATTCTACAGAAAAGGGATGATTACCAATTTCTTTGTCTTTTTAGTTTCCTCATACTGCTCTGGAAAGCCTTTGTGTAATGTTTCTGTTTAAAAACATTCTGTGTAAGGATCGTGCTCTCATACAGACACTTGATGATTAGCTCAGCACTGTCACATGGGGGCAGGGAGTCCTGAGCCTGTATAAACTCTTGACTACAGCACCTTGATCTCGCACAGGGCTTCCTTTTCTTCTGAGTAGGGGGACATTAGAGCAAACCGAATACTTTGTCCTGGTTTGCTTTGAGCAACTCGTGTACACCAGGGGGAATTGACAAAGAGTGGTGCAAGCAAAATGCTTTCACCACTCTTCTAAATGTAGAAAATGAAGCAGATGCTACTCCTAATTCACAAAAGGGATGCAAGCTCCTGTTAAGTAGGAACAATCGGTTCTCCATTCTGACATGTCGGGAACTGACAGCACATAGAACAGCACAAAACTGCCGCATTCTTTCTGGGCAGCACAGTGGCTGAATGGTTAGCACTTCCACCTGGCAGTACTGGGGTTGTCAGTTCGACTCTCAACCACAGCAACACTTGCCTGCAGTTTGCATGTTCTCTCTGTGCCTGCATGTGCTTCCTCTGGGTACTCCAGCTTCCTCCCACTCTCTAAAGGACATGCTGGTAGGTTAATTGGCTCTAAATTGGCCCTAGTATGTATATAAATATGAGTTAGAGACCTTAAGTCCCACATGGAAGAATAACATATTTGAAATATATTTTAAAAATATTCTTCCCATATATATATATATAAGAACGACATACGGTATATTTGAAATTTATTTGTAAAAATAATTTTCATATGTTTTGTAATGAAAATGCATTTCAATGTGATTGATATATATATACAGGTGAAACTCGAAAAAATTTGAATATCGTGCAAAAGTTAATTTATTTCAGTAATGCAACCTAAAAGGTGAAACTAATATATGAGATAGACTCATTACATGCAAAGCCAGATAGTTCAATCCGTGATTTGTCATCATTGTGATGATTATGACTTACAGCTCATGAAAACCCCAAATCCACAATCTCAGAAAATGAGAATATTGTGAAAAGGTGCAATATTCTCGGCTCAAAGTGTCCCACTCTAATCAGATAATTAAGCCATAACACCTGCAAAAAGGGTTCCTGAGCCTTTCAATGGTCTCTCTGTCTGGTTCAGTAGGAATCACAATCATGGGAAAGACTGCTGACCTGACAGTTGTGCAGAAAACCATAATTGACACCCTCCATAAGGAGGGAAAGCCTCAAAAGGTAATTGCAAAAGAAGTTGGATGTTCCCAAAGTGCTGTATCAAAGCACATTAATAGAAAGTGTGGAAGAAAAAGGTGCACAAGCAGCAGGGATGACCGCAGCCTGGAGAGGATTGTCAGGAAAAGGCCATTCAAAAGTGTTGGAGACTTTCACAAGGAGTGGACTGAGGCTGGAGTCAGTGCATCAAGAGCCACCACACACAGACGGATCCTGGACTTCAAAAAGAAAAACAGACCTGGTCTGTTGCTCAGTGGTCCAAAGTCCTCTTTTCTGATGAGAGCAAGTTTAGCATCTCATTTGGAAACCAAGGACCCAGAGTATGGAGGAAGAATGGAGAGGCACACACTGCAAGATGCTGGAAGTCCAGTGTGAAGTTTCCACACTCTGTGTTGATTTGGGGAGCCATGTCATCTGCTGGTGTTGGTCCACTGTGCTTCATTAAGTCCAGGGTCAACGCAGCCGTCTACCAGGAGATTTTGGAGCACTTCATGCTTCCTTCCCCAGACAAGCTTTATGGGGATGCTGACTTCATTTTCCAGCAGGACTTGGCACCTGCCCACACTGCCAAAAGCACCGAAACCTGGTTCAATGACCGTGTGATTACTGTGCTTGATTGACCAGCAAACTCGCCTGATCTGAACCCCATAGAGAATCTATGGGGCATTGCCAAGAGAAAGATGAGAGACATGAGACCGAACAATGCAGAAGAGCTGAAGGCCGCTATTGAAGCATCTTGGTCTTCCATAACACCTCAGCAGTGCCACATTCTGATAGCTTCCATGCCACGCCGCATTGAGGCAGTAATTGCTGCAAAAGGGGCCCAAACCAAGTACTGAGTACATATGCATGCTTATACTTTTCAGAGGTCTGATATTGTTCTATGTACAATCCTTGTTTTATTGATTGCATGTAATATTCTAACTTTCTGAGATTGTGGATTTGGGGTTTTCATGAGCTGTAAGCCATAATCATCACAATTATGACAAATCACGGCTTGAACTATCTTGCTTTGCATGTAATGAGTCTATCTCATATATTAGTTTCACCTTTTTAAGTTGCATTACTGAAATAAATGAGCTTTTGCACGCTATTCTAATTTTTCGAGTTTCACCTGTGTATATGTATATGTGTGTATGTATATATATATATATATATATTATGTTGGAATGCGTTTTTTTTTACAAAATATATGAAAATTATTTTTACAAATAAATTTCAAATATATTGTATGGCTTTCATATATATATATATATATATATATATATATATATATATATATATATATATATATATATATATATATATATATATATATATATATACACACACACACTGCATGTTGAAATACATTTCAAATATACTGTATGTCTTTTATATAGTATACAATAAAAATATATATATATTAATATATCATGTTGAAATGTGTTTTTATTACAAAATATATGAAAATTATTTTTACAAGTAAAGTTCAAATATACTGTATGTCTTTCATATATATATATATATATATATATATATATATATATATATATATATATATATATATATATATATTATACATACACACACTGTATGTTGAAATACATTTCAAATATACTGTATGTCTTTTATATAATGTATAATAAAATATGTATATATATATTGCATGTTGGAATGCATTTTTTATATAATGCAAAGTATATGAAAAATATTTAAAAAATATATTTTTTTTAAAATCTATTCTTCAGATTTGTTTTAACATAAAAAAGTCATTTTAACATATTTTTACATATATTTGTAAATACATTCCAAAAATGTAGATTTGTATTTTTAAAGATTGTAAAATTGATTTTTAAATTGTAAAATATAAATTGACGGCACTACGTAAGCGCTATGTAATAATAAATAATATTTAGGTATTATTTTTTCGTTTATTTTATTTTTCGTCTGCACCAGTTATTATTTCACTCTGAAATAGAAACTGCCATTGGTTCCAAAGATAAACCTGAAACAGGTCGATCGGCTCTGCTAATGTGGTGCATGCCGCTACCATTACAGTGGCGCAGGAAGCTTAGTTAATCCCCCGTAATGCGTTTCCGATATATACATTATAGCATTAGCTGTAAAGGTAAATATCTATAAAAGGATTTGCCAGTCTGTGGTGGGAATACTCCGGGGGAAATCCCTGTGATTACATTGGTTCTAATGAACTGTACAGAGAAACAACCAGCAAGGACCCTCAGGCTGCTAGAGCTTTACACTGGCAGCAACGCACATTAGGCAGAATTCGTTTTTATCACACTTTATCCATTAAGGTGGTGGAATCCTTTTTACTGACAAGCACTTTGTACATTTCAGCAATTCAAACCTAGAATTCTCATTCAGGTTGTTTTAAACAGTTCTCTTCTTAAAGCCAGTCTTGCATGTAAAAATGCTTGTTCTTACAGTGTAATCTGTATTTCCCATTCAGCTTTGTAAATTAAAAATGAACTATGGACTCCCATTACGAAATATTTGATATAGCACATATTTTTATGTGCATCTGCCTTTACTGTTTTCTTTTAAGCAGGCCATACGTGGTTCGAATTCTAAAAGATTTTTCGATTGAAAACATTGTTAGTTCTGTAAGCTGATGGTGCCACCAATGATTTCGAAAATCGGTCGTTTTTTCACGAATTTTCCAGCATGTCCGATAAACGAAACGGGGAGGAACCACGAAAATTGGCCGGTGCCATTGCCCCACTAACAGAGTAGAAATCAGCCGATTATTCTTAGGTCCGATTTTCAAACAAACAGTTTTTCGTTCGAAAATCGACCCATTTATGGCTGGCTTTAGTCTATCTACAGTATCTCACAAACACCTGTTGATCCTGCCAGTGAAGGTCACCTAATGCAACTTCCTGTGATTATGTTGGGGCAATGGTGCTGCACTGCTCCTGAATTCAGTGCTGAGTTGCCACACTCATGTAGGCAGTGCCTTCTTGCATTACAGTGGGATGAAAACAATGTTGCATAGGGCATGGTTATCAACATTGTTACTGCTGATTCACAAGCCTGTAGCTTGACCACACTTAGTCCTGCCCACTGATTGGTGGATTGACAGCACTGCCTCTGCAAATAAAGGAGAATTTATTTGAGGCAGGCTATAGATTATGTGATTTTCTTGGACTTTTAGGATGTATCCAGCAGAAACATGATTTTGGAATCATTATCAAGCTTTGCATCGTTACTAGTCAAATACATGAAGGGTGCATGACATTGATCTTCCCTTTATTTTTTGGTATCTGATTGCAATTGATTGGAGTAGATACATTAATTCCTTCAATTCCTTTTATGTTTTAAATAATTCTTCAGCAGGAGCAATTCTTCTTGTGGTTTCTGCTATACCAGCACTTGTGGGCAATGAATAGGGTAGTATTTCTCCCCGAGGTCCTCCATCAGGGGAGGACAGCCCATACACATGTAGGGAGGCGGGCATCCTAAGAGGCCCAGTCGCCAACCAGGGCTGTTTTTAATACACAGGGGCGATAAGTGTGTACCACTGTCAGAGCAGATCTAATGATGCAGAGGAGGGTGGAGCAGTGGGCGGATCACCGCGTGTGTAGGTAGGAGCTGGGGCCTCGCTGTCAGACAGGGTGGAGGTGTCCTCATGGCTGTGCGGGAACAATCAGGCCTGGAGGAGAGGGTCGTGGTGGAGGAAGCTAAACTCCTCTTTGCTGCAGCTGCCGCCACCACCAGGGGTTTTGGTGTAGATCTGCTGCGAGCCCTGGTCTCGGCTAACCATCTTTGCCCTCTTGTGCCACATATTCCCCCACTCACATCATCTGGAGCAGAAGCTCCAGCACTGGTGAGATCTGAGGGATTGATAAATCAAAGGGGTGTGTGTGTGATGGGGGAGGGGTGTATCTGGGGGGTGTGAAGGGGAGAGGTATTTAGGGGCGTTGTGATCAGAGTGGAGGCATCTGGAGGTGTGATGGGACAAGGGTATCTGGGGATGTGAGGATGTGTGATGGGGGGGGGGGTGATCAGACTGGGGTTATCTGGGGAGGGTGATCAGACTGGGGGGGTGATCAGGATGTGTGGGGTATTTGGAGGTTGATCGGGGTGGGGGAGTATCTGGGGGTGTGTGATCAGACTGGGGGTATCTGGGGAGTGTGATAAGGGTGGGGGTGTCTTGGAAGTTTTAGTTTTCCTCACCTGCAAGTTGCCTGTGGCCAGTGAGGGGAAGCAAGGAATGTATAATCTGCCCCCTCATTACATATCTATATAGACTAGATGAGTTCATATTTGTCCATACTGATCAGTATAGTCCATAGTGATCTTCTAGCACAAAGCAGGCAGCTCCACCAAGAGATAGGAATGGATCTCTGAAAAGACAGTAGGGAGCACAGGGGGTGCGCCACTAAGTGTAGTATTAAACACACAGCTTTAATAGAGCAGCCAAATCCACAAAAAGAGCGCTTGTATTAGAAATCGCATCAATATTAGGTATCGTCCACACACTAGGAGATTTCAGTGACTGTAGGCACCATGAATGGGAAAGCTGGGTGGCCACATTTCTGTATGGATGTATGAGTGTCCGGAACCAACATGGAACCGGAGTGACATCAAGCTTGGGTCCAACCATCTAATAGCTGGTCTCCCTCTTCACCTGGTGTCTTTGATCTTCCCAAACAATATTTCCCTCTTCAGTGATCTCTGTCTTCTAACAGTGTGCTCAGATTAGGACAGTCATAACTTCATCATTTGGGCTTCTAGTGACATAGCCAGTTGGATCTTTCAAAATTAAAATAAATGTTCTATGGGCTGTCCATGGCACACATAAAATCCTTCTCCAACACCAAAGCTCAAATGAGTCGATCATCTTTCTGTCCCGTTTTCGTTGTGCCCAGCTTTCACAGCTGTAATTGACAACTGAGAAGATGAGTGCATGGACGAGTCTGATCTTTGTTTTGAGTGTGATTCTTTTTACTTTGTCAAGTGTCTTCATTGTGTGGCTACCAAGTGCTCTTCTGTGGAGTATTTTGTCACTACTAGTTGGTTCTTTGTTTATGAAAGAGCCCAGGACATTAAAATGCTTTACAACTTCTATTCTATCGACCATCAAGCTCAAATCATCATTATTTTCTGTGTTCATGATCTTCGTCTTGTTTATATTTAGTTTTAATCCCACATTTCGACTTTGCTGCTGGTGATGAACGTTGTGTCATCTGCATAGCGCCGGTGGTTTATGCTTTGGCCACCAACTTGATACCGGCAGACTCTTTTTCCAAATTTGCATTTCTGAAGATGGCTTCACCATTTGGTTGAACAGGTAAAGTGACAAAATGCATCCCTGCCTGACACCTCATGTTAACCTCCCTAGCAGTCTGATTATGTCCATATTTCTGTGCTCAAAGCGGTACATTTTTTTGCATGGAAATATGTCGTTTTTTTATTGTAGGCCTGTCATTTTTAGGAATAACTCACTGAAATCTGTCCAAACAAGAGTCTAGTAAACATTCCGGATATGATAAAATTTGAAACACGAAATCATAAATTATAATTTAATAAATAATCATTAAAAATAATAATATAATAATAATAAATTTAATTCAATAATGTAATCAAACCAAAAGCACTGAAATTTGAAATATAGCGCCAAGTTCACACATCGCTGAGCAAAGTCGCAGAATCGTTTTCAGTGTCTGATGACGAATTTCCCCCATGAATCATTATCACTCAATTCTGCAAGTGGTTCTGATTTACTATCCTGTTCTCTAGCCGGTCTAAAACCGATTTTGACCTAAAGGGACGCTTTTTGGCCACCATGGACATTTCTCAGTTTCCAGGCAGAAAGAACAGTAAAAATGCAGGCAGGGCACAGGACAAAGCACTCGGGACAAAATGTATGTGAAATGGTTTGATACAGGAATGTTATACTATGTGATTTTAGTGTATTTAGTGAATGTCACTTTTTGACATTTTCAAATTTTCCGCCAGTTCGTCCCCGTACGCCCCGACATCGCAGGGGATGGAACCCAGAAGACAGATGCTGGCATTGGCTGGAGGAGATGGCTGGGGACACTGCAGGAGGGACATCGCAGGAGCGAAGGACAAGGTAAGTGCAGATGGGATCCCGGAGCAACACTGCAGTGTATTCCTGAGTGTAGCTTGGGGTTACCGCTTGTGGTACTGAAACTTTACCCCGAGCTACACTCGGGAATACCGCCAGGGGGGTTAATAGAACCCAGTCAGTGTTGCTGTATTCTGTTCTCACCGCAGCTTCTTGATTTTTGTAGAGACTCTTGATCAAATGAGTTATGCATTTAGGTATTCCCATTTGCGACAGAGTCCTCCACAGTTTATCATGATCCACCCAAACGTTTTGCTGTAGTCAGTGAAGCAAAAGTATGCGGTCTTGTGGTATTCTTTGTACTTCTCTAATCTCCATCTAACATTTGCAATAAAGTCTCTTGTTCCTCTGCCTTTTCTGAACCCAGCCTGAGCTTAAGGTAGTTCTTGCCCAATGTATGATTGCATTCTTCGTTGTATTATTTTCGACAGAACTTTGCTGGCATGTGGAAATAATGCAATTGTTCTGTAGTTATTGCAATCTTTGGCGTTGCCTTTCTTCAATATGGGAATGAGCAGTGATCTTCTCCAGTCGGTTGGCCATGTTTTTTAGTTTCTAATTCATTAACACAGTTGAGTAAGGGCCATGATAGCACCTTCGGAGCCTCTGATTAACTCAATTGAGATACCCTTGATACCTGGTGACTTATTGTTTGGTTAAACTTTAATTGCTGCTCCTTTAGGATATCTGGTTCGTCTTCAGCATCACTTTCTGGTTCAGTTTCTATAATGTTATTCACACTGCTTTTTTTATATACATTTTCGGTATATTCTTTCCATCTCCATTTAATGTTTCAGTATCCATCCATACTTTAAAGTGTTACTAAACCTAGGACCCTGCATTCACTATATCTGGTCTCCCCGGACCCTGCATTCACTATATCTGGTCTCCCCGGACCCTGCATTCACTATATCTGGTCTCCCCGGACCCTGCATTCACTATATCTGGTCTCCCCGGACCCTGCATTCACTATATCTGGTCTCCCCGGACCCTGCATTCACTATATCTGGTCTCCCCAGACCCTGCATTCACTATATCCGGTCTCCCAGGACCCTCCATTCACTATATCTGGTCTCCCAGGACCCTGCATTCACTATATCTGGTCTCCCCAGACCCTCCATTCACTATATCCGGTCTCCCAGGACCCTCCATTCACTATATCTGGTCTCCCCGGACCCTGCATTCACTATATCTGGTCTCCCCGGACCCTGCATTCACTATATCTGGTCTCCCCGGACCCTGCATTCACTATATCAGGTCTCCCACAGTACACAGAACAAGGAAATGCAATTATTTTAGTAAATATAATTAGCTAAATACCTTTTCTCATCAGCAGTTAGAGCAGCCTTGTGACTTCTATCAGTGTTAAGCAGGGAAATGGTTAAAGCTTGTAGGAGGAGTTTTCTTTCTGCTCTAGGGGGATGCAGAACCCCTGACCTCTTTTGGACATTGCTGGTTGGCCCTGTGCTGAGCACATGCACTCTCCCAAGGAAAAAAAAAAACCTCTCTAACAATACACACCAAACTGAGCATGTGCAGAGTGTTTCCACATGATATGTCTTATCAGGGGATAAGAGGGGTACACTGGAAGAAGGGAAGGATCAGAGAAGTCAGGATCACACAGCCTTTTTACACAATGCAGAGGATTAATCCGTTCCACAATGACTATATCCAGCATGCTTTACTGCATATACAGACTGATTTTTTTGTTGTGGGTTTAGTAACAGTTTAAAGCGGAGTTCCTCTCACCTGTCAAAAAATAAAAGTCCGCAGCTACAAAAACTGTAGCTGCTGATTTTTAAAAAACAGCTACTTACCTGTCCCTCGGTCTCGCAGTGTGTCCCCCACAGCCCGTTTCACTGGCCGTCCTGTATTCCAGGAGGCCGGCATCTTCAGTGTGGGCACCCGGCTGTGCAGCTTGCGGATTCACAGCTGGATACCCACTGCGCATGCGCGAGTAGTGCTGCGCTTCATGAATGGTCCTGTAGTCTTCTGGGACCTGTCACTTGTCCCAAAAGACTACTGGGAGAGAGGGAGGGAGGACACTTTCCACTTCTGATTGCCTAGGCCAGGGGTAGGCAACCTGCAGCTCTCCAGCTTTTGCAGGACTACAAGTTCCATCATGCCTCTGCAAGTCATAGCTGTAACTGTCAGTTTTGTAATGTTGCAATGCCTCATGGGAAATGTAGTTCCACAACAGCTAGAGAGCTGCAATTTGCCTACCCCTGGCCTAGCCGATCGGACCAGAAGTGGGAGCGGGTACCTGTCAATGAGCGGGTACCCGCCCCCCAAAGGTGCCAATCCTTAATGGGGAGCAGTCCTTAAAGCGGAACTTCCCCTTTTGGGTGGAGCTCCGCTTTAAGCATCCCCAATCTAGAATGGAATTTGTGGCGCAATCTCCTGATATCTTGAAAAGCTAGTCTGGTTTTTACTTTTATGTGCTCAGCTTAATTGTTCTTACAAATATCCTTGAGATATTGTTCTTTATCTTTCCGAACTTAACGCCGAAACACTCGGATCATTTTTTATGCTTTCATTCACCAGAAATTTTGGCTTGCCTTCTTTGTTCTATCTCTTTTTCTAGCTTCTTCTGAAATCCAAGGTGACTTCTTGGCGTTCACCCTCATCTGTAATGTTTTTTCAGCTGCTTCATTAATTATCATTTAGATGCCATTCCATAACTCTTCAGGCTCTTTATCTTTTGTATCAAGAACAGCAGATCTGTTGTTTAGTTAATCCAGTAATCTTGTGGAATATTTTCAATGTCATATCTTGGAGGGCCTCTAATGATCTTCTTGTGAAGCTTTACCTTGATCTTGCATGTCAAAAGCTCATGGTCGCTTCCACAATCCGCTCCAGGGTCCTTGCTGTCAAAACGGCAGATTTCCACTTTGTCCTATGCAGGTGTAGTCAATTTGATTACAATGCGTGCCACTTGGAGAAGTCCATGTGTATAGTTTGTGGTGCTGAAATTGTGAGTTCATGACAGACAGTTGATAAGTTTTGCAAAACTGTACAAAGTTATTAGCGGCTTAATTTCTTTCTCCTAGGCCATGCTTTCCAACCACCGCATCTTCAGATGCACCTCCTACTTTTGCATTGAAATCTCCCATAATAAGCGGTAGATCTTGGTTCTTTTCTAGATCTATTGTTTTTTTAAATTGTTCATGAACAAATTCCACATCCTTCTCTTCTGCATCTGTTGTTGGCGCATGCACTTGGATCAGGGTAACAATGATTGGCCTTCCCTATAGATGGATTTATACGACTCTGTCACTAATGGTATTGTACTTCAGTACTGTCTTTGAAAGCTTACTATTGAGGATGAATGCTGCACCATTTTGCCTGTTTGTTTTGTGACCAGAATAGCAAATCCAATGTCCAAAGTGTCCCCATCCTGTCCATTTGAGTTCACAGATTCCCAATAAATCAATGTTGGTTTAATCCATTTGATCTTAACAATTTCCAATTTTTTTGGTTCATACTTAATAAGTTCCATGTTCCTTTGGTGATAATGTCTTCACAGCTTTTGGTCTCCCTTTTATGTCCAGTAACATCAACATCAGGACATCCTGTCAGATTTGATCCATCAGCCTCATAAGTACCGGACTTACTCTTCGTGACCGTCAGCTGTTCCCTAATAGCTTGATGAGTACCTTCCAACCTAGGGGACCATCTTCCAGCACTGTAGAACAGTTCTCTTTGTTGTCTCATCAAGTTTTCTTGGCATAATACAAAAGTAGATTGCCGGGCCTTTCGTCTGTGCAGCAACATCAACATCGGGACGTCCTATTGGATTTAAAGTGATAGTAAATCTAGAAACATTTTTTTACCTTAATGCATTAAAGTGGAGCTCCAGACGTTTTTGTGTTTATTAAAAGTCAGCAGCTACAAAAACTTAATAAACACACACTCACCTGTCCCGGGGTCCAGCGATGTACTCACCCACGCCGTCCCTTCTCTCCTTCTGTCTTCCACGGTGCTGGCATCTCTACAGTGGGCACCAGGCTGTGACAGCTTGCAGCTTCTCAGCCTGGTGCCCACTGCACATGCTCGAGTCATACTGCGCCTTCTGATTGGTCCAACAGTCTTCTGGGACCTGTGAAAGTTCCCAGGATACTGCGGGAGGGAGGAAGGGGCTGAACGTCGGGCTCACTTCGCCACAGCGAACTGAGCCGGAAGTGGGAGCGGGTACCTGTCAAAACCAAGTATCCGCTCCCCCTTCCCCCCCAAAAGGTGCCAAATATGTCAGTGGAGGGGGGAGGTAAATAAGCGGAGCTTGCACTTTTGAGTGGAACTCCACTTTAAGTTAAAAAAAACTTTTTTAAGTTCCCTGTGTGAAGGAGAAGAGAGGGGAGAATAGATTAGCGCTGTGCATGCTCCCCTTGCTTCCTCTTCACACAGGAACTTGAACAGCAGCAGGAGCCATTGGCTCTTGCTGCTGTCAATCAAGTGCAGTGAAGAAGTGGGGGCGGGGCTAAGTTCTGCTGTGTGTGTCTATGGATCTCGGCTCCACAGACACACAGGTCGGGAGAGAGCACTCAGTGTTTGCCCCCATAGCAGATGGCTTGCTATGAGGACACACAAAGAAGAGGAGGAGCTAGGATTTCCAGTGGGGAACCCGAGAAGAGGATTGGGGCCACTCTCTGCAATACCACTGCATGGAGCAGGTGAGTATAACTTGTTTGGTTTTTTAATTAAAAAGAATTCTGCGTTTAGTAACACTTTAATCCATCAGCCTCATAAGTACCAAACTCACTCTTGGTGACCGGCAGCTCTTCCCTAAAAATCCTAACACTGATGTACAAAGCTGTCCATCATACTGCCCCGAACTACATCACTGACCTAATATCCAAGTACCGCCCAGCACGCACACTCCGCTCCTCACAAGACCTCCTTCTCTCTAGTTCCCTGGTCTCCTCCTCCCATGCCCGCCTCCAGGACTTCTCCAGGGTGTCACCCATCCTCTGGGACTCCCTGCCCCAAGCAATCAGATTATCACCTACTCTCCTCTCCTTTAGGCGCACCCTGAAAACCCATCTCTTCAGGGAAGCCTACACCCACCCCTGCTAACTTGCCGACCTCCTCCACTCTTCCTACCACTCCATCCCCCACAGCTATCTCCTCCTGTGCCACCATCCCCTCCCTCCTAGATTGTAAGCTCCAAGGAGCAGGGCCCTCGCTCCCCTCATGTTTTGCATTGTATTAGTATTGTTCTGTCACATGTTCTGTCCCCCTTTGTAATGTACAGCGCTGAGCGAACTATCGGCGCTTTATAAATACTGTATAATAATAATAATAATGAGTACCTTCCAACCTAGGGGACCATCTTCCACCACTATTCAACAGTTCTCTTTGTTGTCTCATCAACTTTTCTAGTCATAATACAGAAGTAGATTGCTGGGCCTTTCTTCTGTGCAGTGTAAGTTCGATGTTGTCGCCGTTGTCGAGTCAAACGTGATCTTCAGCCTCCAACACTGCCCATCTGCTGCTGCCCAGACAAGGTGGTACATCATTAGTCTGGTATCTCCGCCGGAACCTGTCCGCCTTGGGAGGCCCTGCTGGTAGTGAAACTACCGAAGGCATAGCTTTAAACTTCATAGAAACAATCAACCCCCAGCAGTTTAACAAACCTATGTACCATGTCTGGGGGGTAAGCAAGCAGTCCCCCCCCCAGTCTATATTGCAGTATGTACTCACTCAGTTCATGTGCTCACTTAAGGCACAGGGAAGACTTCATAACCAGCAAAGCAGAGCATGAAAAAAGGCTTTTGAAATCTACTCTTTTCTGTTTATAATGCTCATACAGGTGTACCTCGGTTTACGAATTTAATGCGTTCTGCGGGACTTTTCGTATTGCGGAAAAATTTGTAAACCGAAACGCAGTTTCCCATAGGAATGCACTGAAAACCAATTAATCTGTTCTGGAGGTCAGAAAAAAGTAAAAAAAAAAGTCTTTTATCTGTTCAAAACTCTTTCTAAAGTGTACTTTAAAGACATAAATACTGTACAGGGACATGATTAAAAATTAATTTGTAAATGCATTGAAAACTAAATCATCCGTTCCGGAGGTCAGAAAAAAGTCAAAAAAAGTTTTAGATGTTCAAAACTCTTTATAAGGTGCAATTTAACCTCCCTGGCGGTATTCCCAAGTGTAGCTCGGGGTAAAGTTTCAACACCACAAGCGGAAACCCCGAGCTACACTCGGGATCTTGCTCCGGGATCTCTTCACTTACCTTGTCCTGCGCTCCCGCGATGTCCCTCCTGCAGTGTCCCCTGTAATGTCCTCCGGCCGATGCCGGCATCTGTCTTCTGGGTTCCTGTATCAAACCATTTCACATACATTTTGTCCCGAGTGCTTTGTCCTGCGCCCTGCCTGCATTTTTACTGTTCTTTCTGCCTGGAAACTGAGAAACGTCCATGGCGTCCAAAAAGCATCCCTTTAGGTCAAAAGCGGTTTTAGACCGGCTAGAGAACAGCGATAGTAAATCAGAACCACTTGCAGAATTGAGTGATAATGATTTGTGGGGGAAATTCCTCATCAGACACTGAAAACGATTCTGCGACTTTGCTCAGCGATGTGCGAACTTGGCGCTATATTTCAAATTTTGGTGTTTTTGGTTTGATTATATTATTGAATTAAAATATATTATTATTATATTATTATTTTTTATGATTATTTATTAAATTATAATTTATGATTTCGTGTTTCAAATTTTATCCTACCCGGGATGTTTACTAGACTCTTGTTCGGACAGATTTCAGTGAGTTATTCCTAAAAATTACAGGCTTACAATAAAAAAACTACATCTTTCCATACAAAAAAAAGTACCGCTTTGAGCACAGAAATATGGACATAATCAGACCGCTAGGGAGGCTACAGGCATAAAGGGACATGATTAAAAAAAATGTGTAAATGCATTGAAAACCAATTAATCCATTCCGGAGGTCAGAAAAAAGTAAAAAAAAGTTTTATCTGTTCAAAACTCTTTATAAGGTGCACTTTAAAGGCATAAATACTGTACAGGGACATGATTAAAAAAAATTTGTAAATGCATTGAAAACCAATTATTCCGTTCCTATTGTGAAAAAAAACTAGTAAACAGAGGCATTATTTTCAATAGATTTTCATTCGTAAACTGAAAATGACGTTAACTAAGGCGTTCGTAAACCGAGATACGCCTGTATATGCATTGAGATACCTCCTTAGATCCAGTCTATATGGACAGTATGGCTGTCTGCTGCCTTGGCGGAATCCACAGGCAGCTTAACTCTTTAAAAGACACAGATGTTGAAACCAATGCTGTTTTATTTCCAGAGATGCAAATACAGTCACTAGGCATACGCGAGCACCACTCTTGCACCACGACCGGTCAGAGCAGACAGGAAGGAGCTACCAGGCTGCGGCTCAGAGGTTCAAAACCTTGGCTCTAAACAATAATCAGTCACTGCCATCAAAAATTAATGATCAGTCTCAGGGATCAGGCAGATATTCACTTCTTCTTTTAGTTGTTATTTAAAGCAAATGCTCATTGAAATGAATATGTTGGCCATAAATGGATCAATTCTTGGCCAGTTCAGCAGGGAGTATCTGAGATTCAATCCATGTATGAGCAGGTTGGTTGTACTGACGTCGATCCATTGATCAATGTCAATATAACCAGCCTGTCAGATTTTTTTTAATGCGATCACTGCCAGTGGCCATAGCTACTGGGGTCATTGTGTTCTGCCTACGGGGAAGGCTCCCCACCGGCAGAACACAATAGCACTGCGGGAAGGATTCCCCCATCGACACTGACTTTGTTGATGGGGGAATCAAGCAATTTTCTTTCCTGCAACCACAAGAAAATTACCTAATGTATGGCTTGCCTAATTTGCTCATGGATTATTTTTTGTTGTGTAATTTATTTATTATTTATTACATGGGCAGCACAGTGGCTAAATGGTTAGCACTTCCGCCTGGCAGCACTAGGGTCGTTGGTTCGAATACCAACCACGGCACCTCCTGCCTGGAGTTTGCATGTTCTCCCTGTGCCTGCGTGGGTTTCCTCCGGGTACTCCGGTTTCCTCACACACTCCAAAGACATGCTGCTAGGTTAATTGGATCCTCTCTAAATTGGTGTGATTGTACAATATATATGTAAAGCACTGCGTAAATTGACGGCGTTATATAAGTACCGGAAATAAATAAATTTCAGGTACTTATATAACGCCATCAATTTACGCAGCACTTTACATATATATTGTACATTCACATCAGTCCCTAACCCTCAAGGGGTGTACAATCTAAGGTCCCTAACTTACATTCATACATACACATACTAGGGCCAATGTAGACAGGATCCAATTAACCTACCAGCATGTCTTTGGAGTGTGGGAGGAAACCGGAGTACCCGAGGAAATCCACGCAGGCACAGGGAGAACATGCAAACTCCAGGCAGGTGGTGCCATGGTTGGGATTCGAAGTGCTAACCATTTAGCCACTGTGCTGCCCAATGTCCCCATTCTGCATGCCTGGTGTGTTCCTGGGGTGGCAATAAGAAACAGTTGCTATTTGCGGTTGACCCATGTGACAGTATGCTGTAACCAGTCACGCTTTCTCTCCTTTGGGTATCATTTAATAGGCAAAGTCAATATTTGCCTTTGATGTGTTTACTCCTCCATTATCTAAGCATGCATCTGAAATACAGCATCCCAGTCTGCAGAGTCTGCTTCAGGGGCTGCCCAGGCAGCAATATGTGGCCGGCTGTAGCTTTATGTCACGGTTTCTTTTCCAGGTACATATCCTTACTACATTTAGGATACAATTTGCCAGATAGCTCAAATAAAATGCACAGGTGCAATTTGATTGTTTTCAGACCCAAATTGATCTGTTTGTTTGCTAAACGGAATTATTCTCATCTCCTGAACATTTCTGGTTGGGTGCCAAACATGCCAGACAACCTAAAGCTGCCCATAGATGGATCGAAATCCGCCCAGTTCAGCAGGGACCGGACACATTTTGTGTACGGCAAATATCCATGTATGGGCACTGTGGTTATACAGAAAGTGATCTACCTGCACCGCAGATCAATGTATTATGGCAGCAGGGAGATTTCCCTGCCATCACCATACAGAGACATAGCAGGGAGGATTCCCCCATTCACACATTCATTTGGATCCATTTTAGACCATTTCTAAACTAAAGGAATAGACTTCCAAAAGCAAGAATATTAAAGTGTTACTAAACCCACGATACACATGCCCCTCCATACCTCGAAGCCCCAGCCTGCGGTAGAGAAGCATGGGTGAGTATAACCTGCTGGATGGTCTATGAAAGTGTTACTAAACCCACAACAGTGCAATCAGTCTGTATATTCAGTAAAGCATGCTTGTTATACTCACTGTGGAACCTAAGGGGTTAAACTTCTGCATTGTGTAAAAAGGCTGTTTGATCCTGTCTTCTCTGCCCCTTGTTGAAATGACCACCTGATACAGACTGAACCCGTGGTCACATGCACATGCTCAGTTTGGTGTGTATTGCTAGAGAGGTTTTTTTTTTTTTTTCATGGGAGGGTATATTTGATCAGCACAGGGCCAATCAGCACTGTCCAAACAGAGGTCAGAGGTTTCACATGCTCCTTGAGCGATAAAACAAAACTCCTAACCAATGCTCTGCTGAAGTCACAAGACTGCTCTAACTGCTGATGAGAAAATGTATTTAGCAGTTTATATTTACTTAAATAATTGCATTTCCATGTTCTGTCTACTTTGAAAGAGCAGATATAGTAAATGCAGGGTCCTGGGAGACCAGATATAGTGAATGCAGGGTCCTGGGAGACCAGATATAGTGAATGCAGGGTCCTGGGAGACCAGATATAGTGAATGCAGGGTCCAGGGAGACCAGATATAGTGAATGCAGGGTCCGGGGAGACCAGATATAGCGAATGCAGGGTCCTGGGAGGATATAGTGAATGCAGGGTCCAGGGGACCAGATATAGTGAATGCAGGGTCCGGGGAGACCAGATATAGTGAATGCGGGGTCCGGGGAGACCAGATATAGTGAATGCAGGGTCCGGGGAGACCAGATATAGTGAATGCAGGGTCCTGGGAGACCAGATATAGTGAATGCAGGGTCCTGGGAGACCAGATATAGTGAATGCAGGTCCGGGGAGAGCAGATATAGTAAATGCAGGGTCCTGGGAGACCGGATATAGTGAATGCAGGGTCCGGGGAGACCAGATATAGTGAATGCAGGGTCCGGGGAGACCAGATATAGCGAATGCAGGGTCCGGGGAGACCAGATATAGCGAATGCAGGGTCCGGGGAGACCAGATATAGCGAATAGCGAATGCGAATGCAGGGTCCGGGGAGACCAGATATAGCGAATGCAGGGTCCGGAGAGGTGAATGCAGGGTCCGGAGAGACCAGATATAGTGAATGCAGGGTCCGGGAGACCAGATATAGTGAATGCAGGGTCCGGGGGGTGAGACCAGATATAGTGAATGCAGGGTCCGGGGAGACCAGATATAGTGAATGCAGGGTCCTGGGGAGACCAGATATAGTGAATGCAGGGTCCGGGGAGACCGGATATAGTGAATGCAGGGTCCGGGGAGACCGGATATAGTGAATGCAGGGTCCGGGGAGACCAGATACCGAATATAGTGAATGCAGGGTCCGGGGATATAGACCGGATATAGTGAATGCGGGGTCCGGGGGGGGATATAGTGAATGCAGGGTCCGGGGAGACCAGATATAGTGAATGCGGGGTCCGGGGAGACCAGATATAGTGAATGCGGGGTCCGGGGGAGACCAGATATAGTGAATCCCGGGGAGAGGGTCCGGGGATATAGAATGCGGGGTCCGGGGGAGACCAGATATAGTGAATACAGGGTCCGGGGAGACCAGCTATAGTGAATACAGGGTCCGGGGAGACTATAGTGATATAGTGAATGCAGGGTCTGGGGAGACCAGATATAGTGAATGCGGGGTCCGGGGAGACCAGATATAGTGAATGCGGGGTCCAAGGTGACCAGATATAGTGGATGCAGGGTCCGGGGTTCACTTTAAACCAGAACTGAACTGTGTGTGAACTGTAGTCACAAGTATCACTTGTGGTCTGCTTCCCCCAACACTTACCATACCTTGTTCTGTACTGTGACTCTGTGTGTGGAGTTGGCCACACGGCGTTTCACAGAAAAGCACAGCAGTCCATTTACCATGATTTCCTATTGGATACGTTCACGTTTTCACCCGGTGCATTTTTTGGAAAGGGTCAGGGTTCTTTTTAAACTCAAAATATTGGGTTTTTGGATCAATAGACCTCAATGGAGGCGCTACAGAAATGTATGGAATGCGTTTTTGATGCATTTTGAGTTTTAATCTGCCCAGGAACAAGTTGGGAAAAAAAAGCATCAAAAACGCCAGTCCAGTGCATTTTTTTTTCTGCGTCAGAAATGCATACACAGTGTTTTCCATGTATTCCAATGGCCCTAGTTCACACCAGTGCAGTCAGTTCAAGTCAGTTTCTGGTGCAGAAAAAAAAAAGTAGAACATGCTGCATTTTTTCTGCTCAGAACCATACTGGAACATAGCAAACTGCATCAAAACTGCACTGGAACTGTGTTTGGTGTGAACTGTAAGCCGGAATGCATCCGGAGTGCATTTTTGTAGTGTGAACTGGCCCTTAAAGTGTAATGATAGAGAAGATAGGACAACGTCTCAACTAAATTGTGGCAGTTGTGTGTCTGCAATGAATGGGCAGCACAGTGGCTAAATGGTTAGCACTTCCGCCTGGCAGTACTAGGGTTGTTGGTTCGAATCCCAACCACGGCACCACCTGCCTGGAGTTTGCATGTTCTCCCTGTGCCTGCGTGGGTTTCCTCCCACACTCCAAAGACATGCTGGTAGGTGAATTGACTCCTCCTGTCTAAATTGTCCCTAGTATGTGCAGTGGTGTATTTAGGTGTTGTACTGCCCTAGGCAACACAAAAATTGCCCCCCCCCCCACAGAAAGTGCCTGCCATTGACCAAGAGCACCCCTGCCCTCCACCCGAGCCCTCCACTACCACTGCCCCCCATGCACCAGCCACCATCCCCCATGGCGAGAGAGAGAAAGACACTCACTTTCACAGCTCCCCAGGAACGAGAGTCGGGCTGTGCATACACCTTCATGAAATCCACAGCATCTCTCGGAACCCACCAGGTCCCCATGCCGCCTGTGTCCCTTCTTCCATCCCTTCTTCCAAGAGGCAGTGCTGCCCCCCATGAAAAAATGCCACCCTAGGTAAATGCCTTGTTTGCCTTGTGGTAAATACACCCCTGAGTATGTGTATGTATGAATGTGAGTTAGGGACCTTAGATTGCACACCCCTTGAGGGTTAGGGACTGATGTGAATGTACAATATATATGTAAAGTGCGGTGTAAATTGACGGCGCTATATTATTATTATTTATTATTATTATATTTATTATTATTATTATTATTATTATACAGGATTTATATATTATTATTATTATTTTTTATTATTATTATTATACAGGATTTATTTATTATTATTATACAGGATTTATATTATTATTATTATTATACAGGATTTATATTATTATTATTATACAGGATTTATTTTTATTATTATTATTATACAGGATTTATATTATTATTATTATACAGGATTTATTTATTATTATATACAGGATTATTTATTTATTATTATACAGGATTTATATATTATTATTATTATACAGGATTTATATTATTATTATTATACAGGATTTATTTATTATTATTATACAGGATTTATATATTATTATTATTATTATACAGGATTTATATTATTATTATTATTATACAGGATTTATTTATTATTATTATTATTATTATACAGGATTTATATTATTATTATTTACAGGATTTATTTATTATTATTATACAGGATTTATTTTTATTTATTATTATACAGGATTTATATAGCGCCAACAGTTTGCTCAGCGCTTTACAATATAACGGGAGACAATACAGCAACAATATAGTTCAATAGAAGAGGGTTCAGAGGGCCTGATCCTGGGAGCTTACAATCTAAGAGATATATATATAAGTACCTGTAATAAATAAATAAATAAATAAAATAATGATCCAGCCAAGTGCAAGGATTTTTGTTTTCCTTGCATATGGTGACTTCTATCTTTGCAGAGTTAATTTTTCACCTTGTTCTACCTCTTTCTGTAAGAGAAGTAAATGTATTTCATAGGGGAACATTCTCAAATCAAGGTCTAGGTTTGCTATGTATACATGTATGAGTTCTCTGGATGGTAAGTGACCCAATGCAGTATATAGTTGTGTCATTTGGAGCCCGGGTTCCGTGCAGCCTGCCACACCTAGAACACAGTTTGGGAAAATGCGTCTGGTAGTGGATTCCCCTCTGCTGCACACAGCTCATGCCCAGGCAGCCGCCCCTCCCTGATGTTAAAGAATTCAAGCATAAAAGGCATTGGGGCGGGTGAAATTTTTTTTTTGCCCTTGGCAAGATCTGACTTACAAAACAGCATTTCAAATGATAATTCGCTTCCTAGCTCCCTCGTTATTGGTGGCTTGTGTACATCACAAGCTGAGGCTTCATCTCCATACATTCCTGGGGGAAGCTTGCACACCTGTTTTCTGCTCTCTACACCCCTTTCCATTGATAGGACAAGTAAGCCTAAACACAAAAAAAGGTTACATTACACAAAAAACTGCTAATAATATTCCTAAATAAATGTGCCCGTACCTGTCCCAAGCTGAAATGTTTGACAGTTATGTAACTTTCCGTGGTAGTAGGAACTCAAGAACTCCAGGCCGATATAAAGGACACAAATTTTATTTTTATTTATTTTAGGTACTTGTATAGCTCAGTCAATTTATGAAGCACTTTACACATATATATTGTATATTCACATCAGTCCCTAACCCTCAAGGGTGTACAATCTAAGGTCCCTAACTCACATACACACATGTATACATAGCAAACCTAGACCTTGATTTGAGAATGTTCCCCTAAGAAAAATATTTACTTCTCTTGCTGAAAGAGGTAAAACAAGGTGAAAAATACACTCTGCAAAGATAAGTCAACATATGCAAGGAAAAAAAAATTATTTGCGCTTGGCTGGATCATTATTTTATTTATTTATTTATGCAGCGCTTTACATATATATTGTACATTCACATCAGTCCCTAACCCTCAAGCAGGAGTGTATTTACCACAAGGCAAACAAGGCACTTGCCTAGGGCAGCATTTTTCAGGGGGGCTGCACTTACCCCCAGAAGAAGGGAGGAAAGAAGGGACACACGCAGGGAACCAGGTGGGATCCGAGAGAGGTTTGTGGGCTGCTTGATGGTGTATGTAGAGCCTGGCACTTGTTCCTGGGGATGTCCGGAGCTGTGAAAATGAGTGTTTCTCTATCTCTGGAGGGTGGGGGTTAGTGGAAGGCTCTCCTGGGTTGGAGGCAGGGGTGTTGTTGGTCAATGTCATTCTCTCTCCGTGGGAAGGGGAAGGGGGGGCTGTGTTGGTCGCTGTCCATGGGGCAGACGATTTTTGTGTTGCCTAGTTCAGCACAAAACCTAAATACACCACTGCCCTCAAGGGGCGTACAATCTAAGGTCCCTAATTCACATTCATACATACACATACTAGGGACAATTTAGACAGGAGCCAATTAACCTACCAGCATTTCTTTGGAGTGTGGGAGGAAACCAGAGTACCCGGAGGAAACCCACGCAGGCACAGGGAGAACATGCAAACTCCAGGCAGTTGGTGCCGCGGCTGGGATTCAAACCAAAGACCCCAGTGCTGCCAGGCAGAAGTGCTAACCATTTAGCCACTGTGCTGCCCATACAGCTTTGTATTTGTGAATACTTCATTAAATGCATTTTTTTCAATGCAACTACCTGAATTTGGTCTTGTATCAGCCTCTTGCAGTCCACTGTACCCAGGGCTGGTGCTAGACTGTTTTGCGTCCTAGGCAAGACCAGCTACTTGACCCCCCCCAAAGAAAAAAAAATGTAAAAAACAGTAGAAAATATTAAATCAATAAAACATGAAAGTGCTAAAGTTCTTTTAATTTGCAAAATAAGTGCCATAAGATGCCACCAGCACCAATGTTCGAGACAAAATCAGTGTCATGGACGGACTGTATCTGTGGCTGGCAGTGGCAGGGTGACAGTTGCAGTGAATGGAGGATGATGGATCCACACTCTGATAGTTCCCAGGCTGGAATTGCCAGGCAATGGAGGGAAATAAAACGCTGTGACAGTAGGCAGATCAGCCCACACACACAGAGAACACCTGAATTGGGCGATCCCACACAGTGACAGATCCGACACAACACACCACCACCGACACTGACACAGATCAGCAGGCACTAGAAGAGAAGGCTATTGGATCGTGATGATGTCACATTGCACATGTGATGGATGGCCGGCTGGGTCACACTCACAGAGACACAAGCTATCAGAGTCAGACATTACCTTCCTCCGCAGGCGCAGTTCTGCCTCCACTGATGAATGGGAAGAAAAGGGCTGGAACTCCACAGTGATGAGCAGCCACCAGCCAGCTTGCAGTAAGGGACTGAGTCTGAGAGGAACACTGGAAGGAACAGCAGCTCAGCTGCTA